TATTTTGTGTGTGTGTGTGTGTGTGTGTGTGTGTGTGTGTGTGTGTGTGTGTAATAGAGTACATTAAATTGGGCAGTGGCAATAAGAGGAAGTAGGGATAAGGAAAGGGATCTAAATATTATAAATTATATTGCATGAAAATAGAAAAAAATTCAATAAAAACAAACGAAAAACAAAAGAGAAAAGAAAGAAACTAAATAAAAGATGAAAGCGCATGTGGGTTCACATTTTAGACAAGTTCTAGAAGGGTTTTTTGTTTTGATTTGTTTTGTTTGTCCTTTTGAGACAGGGTCTCCCTGTAGCCCCAGCTGTCCTGGAACTCAGTGTGTAGACCAGGCTGGCCTTGAACTTACAGAGATCTGCCTGCCTCTGCCTCTCGAGTGCTGGGATTAAAAGTGTGTGCCACCACGCCCGGCAAGCATACAATTTTTTTTACCTCCCCTAGTAAGTCAAAATTGTTTACCTTGTCACTTTGTGGCTTTGCTTTGGAGCATCTAAATCTTGCGTTTTGTGGCCATTAGTTAATAAAACGAGTTTCCACAACACAAGTATTGTGATAGTACAACAGGCCATCAGAGAACCAGTGTGGCCTAGTGAGTTATTTGGAAAGAGATTCCTTGTTCACCTTACTTTGATTTCAATATAATTGTTCTGTTTTGTTATTTATTGTTGATAATCTCTTCTCATCCCAGATGTTATAAATTAAACTTTGTCAAATATCTGTACATATAAAAAAAATAGTCCAATTAGGATTTGGTACTATCTGCAGTTTTAGCCATTTACTGGGGTCTTAGAACCACTCCCTGTGGGTAAGAGAGAATGACTGTCCTCCATGTCTGTTCTGCATCTGACTTTTGAGTTTTTAAAAACTCACTTGTTTGCATCCCTTGTAGCCAGTACACGTGAATCTGTCTCTTATTTTTTTAAATATTTTATTTATTATTTTTATTTTATGTGTATGAGTATTGCCTGCATGTAAGTAAGTGTACCCGTGTTGTACTTTTTAATGCCATCATTACATTTTTTTTATGTAGATGTGCTGAGTTTATGTGACCTCTTACTGATGGCCTGAGAGGGAGTCTCCTTTGTTGATTGACTTGGAAGACCCTCCCTTCCCTTCCATTCACCTGTCTGATCTTACTTTCCTAGACATATGAGGATTATTGCTTTAGAGCTTGTGTTCTCTATCCTCATTGTGTCATCCTGACCTGCAAACCCGCTTTCTCCCTTGCATCAGTTTGTATGGATTTCAAGGCCCAGCTTGAGCCCTACCTCCTTTCTTGAATGTTCTTTCATTCTCAAAGCTCTCGTTGGTTGAGTTCTCTGTTGTCTGTGGTTACTAGAACAGTGTCAACCACAAAAACGGTCAAATAATTGTCTTTCTCTGAATTCATTTCTTTTTCTTTCTTTCTAATTTTTACTCTTAGAGGTGTTTCTAGGATTCTTAAAGGCTTATGTTGAGAAATTTTCCTACAAGAGTATAACCACTGAGGACTGGAAGAATTTCCTATATTCCCACTTTAAAGATAAGGTTGGCTTTAAATTCTTTTTACTTTTCATGCGCAATATATCATTAAAACTATTTGTTAGGCTAACTTGAATTGTTTTATAATAGTATTTGTTCAGAATTTGCTTTAAGACTCAATTAATTTTCCTATTCTATTTAACAGAACACTAGTAATGAATAGAAACTTAATTTAGAAAAGACTCAGATGAGATGCTGTATGTTAACTAGCTAGATTTAATCATTCCACATTGTTTGTATATGTCAAATGTCACATTGTATTCCACGAATGTGCATTATAATGATCTGTCAATTTGTAATACTTATTTTAAAAAGTAATGAGACATAGAAATTATGTTGACATGGCAGAGTAGATTAGATTATAGTTTGATCACTTACAGGTTTGTTTTAGGTTGTTTGTTTCTGACCTACAGAAAAAGTTTTTCTGTCACAAACTGGATGTTCTTTCTGTTCCCAGGTTGATGTTCTCAATCAAGTTGATTGGAATGCCTGGCTCTATTCTCCCGGCTTGCCTCCTGTCAAGCCTAAGTAAGTGCTTGCCTGCTAATGTGTTTCCTCTTGTCTCTTAATTCAGGGGTGTACAATACTGCAATATTGGATGTTGCAGTATGACATTGTCATCTACAAATGTGTTAGGATACACGTATTATACTGGGATACATGTGGACCAAGTGCTGTAGGTTGGACATCCCTAAACCTAATGTTAGCCTTCTCAGAGTATCAGGAAGGATCATGTACCTCCCTTAAGTTGTTACCAGTCCACAAAGAGAGCAGAGGGCTTGGGCAGTTAGACCTTATTTCTGAAAGTAAAATCCATTTCCATAGTTTTTAAACATGTCTGTTCAGTTGACTGCAAGTAATACTGGGTTCCAGGTTTCTACACAAAGATGGTGAGGGACTTAGAGAGGAGTAAGCTATTTTCCCTTTCTTAAAGCTTTTGTGGAGGCCAGGTGTGATGGCACATGCCTCTAATCCCAGCACTTGGGAGGAGGAGGCAGGAGGATCTTGAGTTTGGAGCCAGTTTGGGCTCAAAAAGGCAGAAAAAAAAAAAGAGAAAGAAACCCATGTCTTTTTTCAGTAAGAAAAACATGTGTTTTATAAGCATAATAATGTTGCAAGTTGTTATCTCTGTTTCCAGAAGAGGCAATAAGGGTTAGCTGGCCAGTGTCTTGGTGAAGCTGCATGGCTTGTAATTAGTAAACATTGAGGAAACAAGCCCCAGAAGTCTTACTGTATCCAGTCTTTTAAACTAAATACCCTCCTGGAGTCAGGGAAGGCCAAACCCTGGTCTTCATGAGTTGTGAGGATGTGGACTACTGCACACTCCAGTTTTGTTTCCATTTCCTTTGGATCAACAAAGCTGGAGTGTGGAGTATGATTCCTTTGGATCATAGAAATTGCTTACCAGCTACTCTTGTACCAGATGGCCCAGTTTAGTTGAGGTACAGAGGAGCATCAGAGGTTGGAGTAGGGAAAAGAAGTCATGATCATATTTGTAAAGCCTCTTGTGTGGCCAGGCTGAGGAGGGTTTGGTTAAGAGGATATTGGGAATGTGGCAAGAAGAGAGGTGCTGACTGCCACATCCTGATTTTCATAGTGCTCTCATCATCTGTGTGTCTGAATGTGTCTCAGTCCCATCCATTTCTCTCCATTTCTACCACCACTATTAATGTTCAGTGTCACACCAGCTTCTCCTGGAAGACTGCTCTGGCCTCCCAGTTGTGCACTTAGATCTCTCTAGCCCTGCTCTATACCAGTTTATACACAGAGCTTGAGAAAACCTTTAAAAGCACAGCTATGCCTTGCCATCTTGACCATCTTCCTTGGCATTCCACTGCTCTTAGACTGAGGCCAGATCCTTTCATATGAACTTGGAGCACCTAACACTTCCTTTACATCAGTCAGACTGGCAGGCTGGGGCGGGGTGTCCCTCAAACTACACACACACACACACACACACACACACACACACACACACACAGACAAAGCATGCATCTCCTTCTTGGATAATTTTGACCTCAGTTTAACCATCATTGCCTCATGATAGTATCTATTGACATCTCTGTACAGATCAGCCCTCCCATTTGAGAGTTTCTTGACCACATTTATAGCTTTATGTTTATTTGTGTGACTGAAATTTTTTTTTTAATGTGTATGCTGTGCCTGTGTGTATGTAAGTGCACCCATGTTGTGCAGTGCCCACTGAGGACAGAGGAGGGCATCAAATCCCCTGGAACTGGAGTTACAGATGGTTGTTAGCTGCCATGTGGGTGCTGGGATTCGAACCTGGGTCTTCTCCAAGAACAGCCAGTGTTCTTAACCACTGAGCCATCTCTCCAGCCCTGTGAGTGAAAGTTTTTTTCTTTTATTCCACTGTACACACCGTAAAAGCAAGGCTGAAATCTGGTTTGCCCATTACCTTTTTAGAACTTTGTTGTAAGTAGAGATTACTTCCCTTCCCTGAGGTAATCCTTAACTTAGTTTTTTTTAAACAATACTGAGAGAAAAGTTTTTGAACATGAAGAAAGACAGCAGCCATACATTTTTGCTGTCCTGTTGCTAAGAAGTAGGTGATTTATAGCCTGAGCAGTGAAGGACGTCTGATCCAACTTGTTGTCAAAGGCAAACACAGTGGCTGCCTCAGTCCATAGAGTGACCATCTGATGAAGATAGGCTGACTGTTGCATCTCAGAAGGGAGCTGCTTGGTCCTGGCGTTAGTCAACCTACTTGGAGAGTGGAGAGAGGGAGCGGAAGAGTGGGGCGGGGGGGGGATAATATCCCTATCCAGTTACTTCTCAGTAGCACCACCAGCTGAAGACTAAACTTTCAGGCCTTCAGTATATGAGATGAGCTTTGGGAGGGATATCTCAGATTCAAACTATAAAACACTATGTACTTACTGCTTAGGGCCTAGTGCCCAAGTGCAGTACATTGTGTGATTATTAGTAGCTACTGAACCTTCCTTAAAGAGAGGTGTGACTAGGTTCCCTGTTCATTCCATAGGAGAGACTAAAATAATAAAAGTAGAGTAAGAGAAAAATGGAAAAGCAGTAGCTGCCTCTCTGGTCACTGATAAACATTTTATAGTGGTTAAACTTGATTTCAGACAAAGGGATATTTTGTAAGAATTTCATGTACAAGACACATTCAAGTTGGGAATGCACATGTGGCAGCATAGCTTAATGATCACAGTGGGTTAATTCCACCTCTGTAAAGAAAGGAATGAAGTCCTCACACAGTGACGTTGGGCTCCCTAAAGTCTAGCCTCTAGAACAGTGCCTGTTTCCTTACACCTGCTGATAGATTTGCTAGGACCTGAGAAAGTCAGAACAACCAGAAGCAAACTCCACAGAGAAAGGACCTCATGGTGTCTTGAGTCTTGCTGTCCTGAGTATGTGGAGCTGTTCCTGCCAGGCAGTGGGCACTCAGTGTGCTTGCTCTGTGGTTCTGACTACCTCTCTGTGCCCTCCCTGGCTATGTGACAGTTTTGCTGAGATGCTTTGGCATTGCCTGTGAAGGATGGCCAGGAGCTTCATTCACATGGTACCCAGTGTGGCACCCATTTAGATTGGGGAGTTCTTAGATGAGGCAGTAACATCTGAGTCAGGTAAAAATTCCTGCTTCTAGCATTTGAGAGCTCTTTATCTTTAATTTTTTTTAATTTAATTTTATGTGTATGAGTATATAGCCTGTTGCAGGTAGGTACCTGCAGAGGTCAGAAGAGGGCATCAAATCCTCAGGAACTGGAGTTATGGACAGTTGTTAGCTGCCATGAGGGTGCTGGGAATCAAACCTGGGTCCTCTGTGAGAGTGGTCAGTGCTCTTAACTGTTGAATCATCTCTCCATCCTGTTCTTTAAATATATTTTTAATATTTTATTAATTATGTTTGTTTTATATGTATAGTGTATGCCTACATGTATGTGCACTCATGTCGTGCAATGCCCACAGAGGTCAGAAGAGGGCATCAGATCCCCTAGAACTGGAGTTACAGAAGGTTATTATCTGCCGTACAGGTACTGGAAACAGAACCTGGGTCCTCTGTAAGAGCAGCCAGTGCTCTTAATCACTGAGCCATCTGTCCAGCCCTAAAGAAAATTTAAATCTTAACTGTGTTCTATAGCTTTAAAGCAACATTTATATAAAGTATGTACATTTATAAAATTTAATCTTTAATATGTCTTCATCTTTGCAGTTATGATATGACTCTGACAAATGCTTGTATTGCCTTAAGTCAGAGATGGATTACTGTAAGTACTAATTTTTGGTTCTTTTTTAAATTGCACAAATATGTCTATGTTCTTGGACAAATAGTTTAAATGGTAAAGAGTTGTGTTTGGAAGGCTGTCTGAAAGTTAGGTTTCTCTATGGTGATACTATTTTCAACCCTCGATGTATCAAATTAGGTTTCTTAGGGAAAAAAACAAGTGTTCATGGCATTTAGTTTTGGTTTTTCTTGCTGTCTTTTCAATTCTTAAAAAGTATGCAAAAGTATTTCATTTTGTTTTGCTTCTCTTTTTAAATCAATCATGATATTCTTCCAATATAGCAATTACCTATAGGTAAATCTAAGTGATTGAGTGTTGGTATCAACCGTGGGATGGGAGGAACTCAGGGACTTTGTTGGTTGCTAGCTTTGTTCACTTCTACCGAGCTTCCTACAGGAGTGTCTTTGTGTCTGTATTAAAGCATAACGCCTAGAGAAACCACACTGAAGATATATCGCCCAGGTGATTGTTTAATGATAAATGAGAGAAAATCTAGCAATCATTTTGTCCTGATGATTGCAACTGATTTTGATGTTGCTTGGTGAAATTCATCTTAAAAGTTTACTTGGCCAGCATTTCTTGACAGTCTTCAGCATTCAGAATACTGAGCTGTATATCATGGAATGAGCAGAGATGGTCTTGCCTATTGGTGTCTATAGTTTAATGAAAGAAATTAGATTTATATACAAATTACTGCTATGCTGAGCAGTACACTGTGAACAGCTGGGAAGGAGATAGACTGAGTCACACCCATCAGAAAGAACCCAACCCAAACCACCAGATATAAACTCCTCAAGAACAGGAATTGTTTTTATTCCTCTGTATCCCCAGGACGGTCCTCCTCTATTTACTGGTTGGATAAATATATGAGTTGATAGAGGGAAGACAAGATTGGGAAGATAAATAAGCTTGTCAGGCTAAGGAATGTAAAATGTAAACTGTAGGCAGCAATGGAGTGTTTAAAGACTTCGAATTGTGTGGGGCATGGTGGCGCATGCCTTTAGTCCCAGCATTCACACTCACTCACTGGGGAAGGAGAGCCAGGTGGATCTCTGAGAGTTCAAAGCCAGCCTGGTCTACTTAGTGAGTTCCAGGCCAGCTGGGGCTACCAGGAGACCCTGTAGCAAAAAGACAACCAACAAAAAAATAATAAAAGATTTTGAATTATAAATGAAGTGACCAGAGTCTTGTGTTGAGACCAATCTGGCAGTGAGGTCAGACCAAATCAGTTAAGATGGAAAAATTAGCTTTAGTAAAAGGCCAGCCAAGTGGACATCAGAGGTACTTCATGTAAGAACATTTGAAGGGATTGAATTTAGAACAGTGCAGGGGGAAGTACTAATAGATTTGAAGGACACCTTGAGGTTTAATTTTGTAGTTAAGAACTCAGTGGGCTGGAAATGTAGTTCAGTGATAGAGCACGTGCTTAGCATGCATGAGCCCTGGGTTCAATCCCAAGTACCCCCCCAACAAAATAACTTGAAACAGACTGGCTACCGAATGTGAGAAAAGTGAGTAGAGTGTTTTAGGTCTGGGAAGAAAACAGCTACAAGAAGAAGGAAGAAACAGATGAAGAGCAAGGCAAGTCAGCACAATGCAGGCAGAAACCAAGAGAAAAGAGTCTCTAATTTAGCACAGCGTGGTGATACACCTGAATCCTGAATCCTAGCATGTAGGAGGCAGAGGCAGGAGGATTGTGAGAAGGGAGGGAGGGAGAGAAGGAGGGAGGGAGGGAGAGAGAGAGAGGAGAAAAGAAGGAAAGAATGAGTTCTAGTTTAAAATACTGTAAAACGTAAGCTTCTTTTTTGGAAATTCAAATCATAAAATAGATAAAGAATTACAGTTTGATCCAGCATCATACTCGTCTGTTTTGGTCTGTGTGGGCCTTTCTGGTTGCTGTTTATGGAAGGAGGAAAGAGGACTAAGGTCTTCTCAATAGAACCTCAGAACGGGCTGGTTGTATGTACCTTGACTATGGGTGTTTTGCCTGGAGTGGTGTTGAATTCCGATTGGAAAAAGGTTTAATTGTGAGTTTCTCTAAATATTTTAAAAGCCTTAGTTATTTGTATCCAGGGAGAGAAATCTAGTTCCACATTTTGCTAGCCTTACTCTTTTACCTTCGTCCTTTGTAGCTCGTAAATATGCCTGGAACTTTCTGTGGGAAAGGTTTCTTAACAACATGAGTCTGCTAAAACTCATTTAAACTCAAAAAAGATCTCTTCCAGCTTGCCTGATGCTACATATAACTGCTACTGATTTCTGGTCTGGTATTCCTTTGGGCACCACAGCAAAAGTGGGTGATTATAAATAGTTCACTGTCAGAGGGAGCAGACAGCGTTGGGAATAGTGAGGATGGTGATCATGAGTGCGCTCTTACATGCTTCTGGATGGTTTTTCTCAAATATTAAATAAATGCAAAAGGATCTATACATAGAGGGGCTGGGGAGATGACTCAGTGGATAAAACGTTTGCAGGCCTAGCATGAGGACTGGAATGTGGCTGCCCCACTGCACATTAATAGCCAAGCAGGCATGGTGGCCTGCTTCTGTCATGCCAGTGCTGGGGAGGCAGAAACAGGGATCCCCAGGATAGGACTGCTGAATCAGCATGCTACAGGCTCAGAGAGAGAACATGCCTCAGTAAATAAAGTGAGTGCAATTAAGGAGGACACTGTTAATCTCTGGCCTTCACATGCATGCACACATATATACACATTCACCCATACATATATGAACACATGATACACATGCCAAAAAGTAAAAAATATATACAATGGAAAAATATATATATACAATGGAAAACGTTGATAAATCATAAGAACCGATTACGGAACAGCGCCTGTGTTCCTACCACGAGCATAGGGAGTAAAGCCTTCCCAGGGTCTTTGCAGCACCGTTCCCATCTCATTTGGCCTAAAAAATCTGGTCTCCTCCTTTTTGAATTGGTTAAAAATTAATTGACATGCTTTTTATAATGTTTCTTTGCTTTGGAAATATCTATAATGGTACAAATGATGTTGAAAAAGAAGAGGGGAGGGGAGGGGGAGGGAGGGAGGAAAGGAAGGAAGGAAGGAAGGAAGGAAGGAAGGAAGGGATTCTTAAGTAACAAATTTAGGAATTAGCCTTTTGGGGTACAGTAATAATGTCACAGTTACATAACCTTAGATGTAGATTTATTTTATGATATTTGTCCATGTAGTTCTGTCTTTTTGTTTTGTGTGTATGAGTGTTTTGTTTGCATGTATATAAATGCACCTGGGTCATGCAATGCTCGAAAAGGCCAGAAGAGGGCGTTGGATCTTCTGGAACTGGAGTTAAAGATGGTTGTTAGCCACTATGTGGGTTCTGGGAACCAAACCCAGGTCCTCTGCAAGAGCAGCCAGTGCTCTTTACTGCTGAGCCATCTCTCCCGCCCCTCTGTCTTTTTCTCAATCTTTACTTTTATGTCAGATAAACTAACAATATTATTAAGAATACATGAACAGAAATAACTTGGCCTCGTAACATTTATTTCAGGCCAAAGAAGAGGATTTAAGTTCCTTTAGCATCACAGACCTGAAAGATCTCTCTTCCCATCAGTTGAATGAATTTTTAGCACAGATGCTCCAAAAAGTAAGTACTGGCTCCCCATACTGGAGATTAAAGTGGACACAAAGGCAGAGCATGTGTGTTGTACCCAACATGAAAAAAAAATAGTAATGTGGAAACTCATAGAAAAAGAAATTATATAGTTCACTATTTCGAAAAAGTATTTATTGAGTCTTAATATAATTACTATTGTGCTAAATATAAAAATATGTAAAAAAAGAATAATCCTTGTTCTAGAAAGCTTATAATTACTAGGAAGGGGAACATGTGTGAAATTTAGCAATAATAGTACATGTATTTTAGATATCATTTGGAAACAGTTAGTGAAGGACTCCCACCTGGATTTAACATCAAGGCAGGGCCTTTGGTGGGATGAGACCTGATACAGTGTTAGCAAAACCATAGAAGTTCAAGTTGGAGGGATCATCAACCAGTGGAGCATGCCCTGTATAGAATGAGCCCTAGGGCTGGGTGAGGAAGTTAACAAAGGCTGATGGCTATACTGTTCCGGTCAGTCAGAAAGGCTCTAAAATTTTTAGCAGGAGTCACTTTAATTAGATTGTGGGTTATGAAAACTGACCTACTCGAGATGAGAAGGCTTCGGCGGGGGTGAGGTTAGTTGAGAGATGTGAGAGAACAAACTACTGAGAAAGGAGAAACCAAGCCAGATGAGAGGCTGCACGGGATCAAGATGCAGGGTTTGTTAGTTGGATTTGGAGATTAACGGGAAAGACTAAGCAGATTTTAAGCACAAACCCAAATAAAAGAATACACGAAACTGAAAGGAGATGTTTAAAGGGAGTAACGACTGGCTCTACAAGTACCACAATGAAAAGGAGCTCTTCTGTATAAGAACCTCAAGGGGTGAAATTTTGGACCAGAATTTCCTTTGAGATTGATGCAAAAACTAAGGAGAAGATTTTGAGGCCACAGGGGCCCTGGCACAATACAAGAGCCAGTTTAGGGCACAGTCATCAGTTTCATAATTTTCTGTGGTGCTGCTGGTATGACCTAGGATTGAGAAGAGAAAAGCCTACAGGATGCTATGAGGACTGTGGCAAAACTTGGGGAAAGTCAGGGAGTCTGGGATCTGACCATCAATGGTTGACCTAGCAGGGTGGAATTGGACATCTGGACATCACTGTGTCCATTTGGAAGCTAATATACTGACCTGGGATAGGCCTAGCATTAGTGAGAATGGAGGTGGCTGGTGCACATGGAGTGAGAGTCCCTTCAGGTAAGGAGGCCACAGCCAGAGAGACAGTCAGCATCTCCATAGGCACCTTGGCCTGTCCTGTGGGCATCTCAAACTCTTGTCTGTCTGAACTGAACTCATCTCTTTCCTTCCTTCCTTCCTTCCTTCATTCAAACTTGTTTCCACTTTTAGTGTAGGTTGACATGAGTACGAGAGGAGCAGGAACACCCTGAAATTGCACCTATATATTTATATGCATATGGTACATGTGACCTCCCCCGTGCTCCCAAGGGACAGGGCCCATATTATTCATCTCAAAGGGGTCTATGATATGAAAGTTTAAGAGCTGTCATTTTATAAGGATATAGATAATCTAAATGTGGTTTCAGAGGAAATATACAAAGATAAAGCCAATCAGTAGAAGCAAGCAGTGATGAAAATTTAAGGAACTGCTATTTAATATGAAGAATGGGATAAATGTAAGCTATATAAGATGTAGAGAAGAAAGAACTTAAGAGACTGGAAAGGATCTGGAAGGTCATGTTAATACTAGAAAGTCTAAGGAGTACCCTGTAGAGTAGCTCATCCCCATGATCCTTGTAGGACATCCATGTCCAAAATTCGTTTGCTAGAAGTTCACTTTAGTGTGCATATGTTTCTTTTATCCTTTATTCAACGTATTTCTATATTATAAGATACATAGGATTTTAATCTGGCTAAGAATTTCTCTCCAGCTCCTTTCTTCCAAGGAATCCTGTTGAAATGATTCGTTTATACTTCTTTATTTTGCTCTTAGGCACCTCTTCCATTGGGGCACATAAAGCGAATGCAAGAGGTGTACAACTTCAATGCCATTAACAATTCTGAAATACGATTCAGGTACATCATTTTAACTTGTCTCTATGGAAGAAAGCAGAACGTAGTTTAAATGGTGGAGAAAGGGAACACAGAGTATAAGACCTCCAGGTCTTGAAAAGTCCTTGTCAAGTTGATCCACACAGATATCACAGTGGTGTTAAAGGAATACTGCAGTGTCTGTAACACAATGACTGTAATCTTTTTGCTAGACTTTGTTCTTAGCTTCCCTCGCCTTAAACAAAATCTAGAATGAAGGATAAAGTGGTAAATAGGTTATCTTTCCCAAATCAACTCTGAAATGGGCATGGTTAGAAACCTTTAATTCTATGATATGCCAAACTTTCTTAATTCAAATTTGCAGTGTGAGGTTTCAGTCAAATTTTACTTACTTCAGAAATTGACTTTATAGGACAACATGAGCACTTCCATAATCCAAACCTGAAACTTAGGCTCTTTTCCAAGAACCAGCTCCTCTTCCTTCTCTTCTCTGGTTATTAAAGTGTGTGTATACAGACGTGAAATTCTCAGAGAAGACAGAAAGGGTACAGCATGCGTATAATGGGATTGCTCATCTCTATGGCAGACATGCTGGGGTTTACCTGTCATTTCCTGGTCCCTCCTCATTTTCTCTCCCACACCCCTTCAAAATCCTTTTTCAGATGGTTACGGCTCTGCATTCAATCCAAGTGGGAGGAAGCGATTCCTTTGGCTCTAAAAATGGCAACTGAACAAGGAAGGATGAAATTTACACGACCCTTATTCAAGTAAGGCCAAAACCATGCTTCCCACTCACACAAGGACCAGGAAGGAAAGTCGCACAACTTTTATCCTTAAAAATACTTATTAAAGGTCTGGTGCTGTATAGCTCAGTGGCAGAAGGCTTGCCTAGCATGCCTGAGGCCCTGGGTTCAATCCCCAGTACTGCCAGGTAGGGAAAACACTTTGTAGAATGCTGTCTGTAGTATAATTTTGTGTATTCAAGATTATCTTAGATATGATTTCAAATAGGAATTCATACTTGGGACCATTTCAATTTTAAAATAACTTCATTAGCTCTTTTAGAATCATAATATATGGATTAGCCACTACAGGCCAGACAGAGCTAGACATGTGAAAAGTAAACAAGTTGGAGACTCTTAGGTACACTGAAGGATTTTTGAAAGTGGAAGACATTGGTAAGTATTCAGGGAAAAAGAGTCTAAAGCTGAATACAAGGAGAAATAACAAAATCTTTAATCCAAAGGTTTTTGACACATGATGAAGGAGTGCTTGCTAATGGGGCAAAGTTGTGTTTTGGAAACAAGGTATAATCAAAGAATATCTCTGAACTTCTTCTATCAGGTATTTTGCTCCATATTCTGAAAAAAGTATAATCACGACATAAATATCCATGATTAATCTGGTAGCTTTGCATTTTCTTCACAAGTTACTAAAATTTGGCAACAAAACACATTGTCCAGTTTTTTAAATGTGGTCACAAAATTAATTTTTAAGATATTTTGAAATATACTTCATATGTGTTCCGTAATTAAAAACCCATCTAGCTTTGAATTGGGCAAAGTCTACTTTAAATGAGAATATGCCTTTTTAGGTCAGTGGGATGGCCCAGCAGACACAGCACCTATTGCCAAGCTTAGTTCGATCTCTGGGACCCATGTAGTAGAAGGGGAGAATGACTCCTGCAGGTTGTCCTCTGACCGCCATTCCCAGGCTGTGGCAGGCATGCCCATTCACATGGGAGCACACACAGTAAATCAATCAGCCAATCAATTAATCAATCATTCAATAAATAGATGTTTTAAGAACATACCTTTTGTAGGAAAAAATGAATGTTCTGTCCTATACAATACTGATTAAACTTGAAAAAACATTTTTTTTTTGAGATATAGAAACAATTTTATTTTCCACTGCTTTATCAAGGGCACCCAAAGTTAAAGCAGCTTTAAAAAAAAAAAAAAAAAT